AAACACAACGATTCCTATATTCAGATGATTATACACTAATAAAAACATACCAATGAATATTATATTTCATATATCACAAAAGATCCTCCTAAATGTTACACACTGGACCTTTAATAGATTGATCGTTTAGTCTAAAACATTTCACTTGTTTTGTCACATCAACAGTCCAAAATGCAAAAATATTGAGTTTTCAAGATAGAAAACTCTTCTGAGAAGCTGGAAAATGTTTCATCACTGATTAATCGTTGGGTTATTTCAACCAAATATGCCAAATATTCTCTGGTTCCAGCTTATCAAACATGGAGATTGGATAGTAAACGATAGTAAACTGAATAACTTTTATTTTTGGACTGTTACTGGTAGTTTGAATGTGTCACCGAGCACTCTGGGAAATTACAATGGGCATTTTTATTCATTTATTTTACTATTTACTGACATTTTATAAACAGTAACAGCTCTTGATTTTTAATTTCTAGTTAATTCATCTTCAATGGATATTTGCAAAGTGCTCTGTCTTACTGAATCCAGCCTCAGCACGCATAATAAAATCTTTCTCATCTACACATTTCTCTCAGGCGCCTCACTGGGACTGTGAAGGAGGTAACAGCCATTCAGAAACTTACAGACGGACAGAGAGACAATCCCTGGCACTGCCCACAGTCTACAGTCCCGGGTAATAACTCTCCTCTCTTTATGGGACTCTGGCACACACGGCAGAAGAAGTCTCGCCTCAGAGCCTCCTTTCCAGACACCTTCCCATTATTCCCTCCCTCATTCCTCCATATCCTTCATCCCCCACCTCACAATTCCCCTGTCCCCCAACTCTCCTCCCCCCTCCTCCATAACTTCTTGCCTTTGTTTTTGGGAGCAGGAGGGGCAAAAGTCAGGACTGCTCGTCACGGGAACAGTGTTGCCATGGAGTCGGGATAAAAAAAAAGAAAAAGAAAATTGGGGCACTGTCCAGGGAGGATCAAACAAGGGCTCCTCTGTGCTGCTCCTGAGTGGAGAGACTCAGAAGAAAGAGACAGAAAGACGGGGGTCCAGGTGGATGTGCAGGTTGTGTGCAGCAGTGTCAGGTGTCCCTTATTGTTGTTATCAACAGGCTGTCTCAGTTAGCCAGTGGGTCTTAGTTTATTTTCTACTGCAGTGTGTGATTATGTGGATAACTGGCAGGAAATAAACTGAGACTCGAGCCATTTCCGAGCAATGAAATTACACTGAGAGGGAAAAAACAAGTGTGGCTTTCTACTTCAAAGCCTCACAACCCGGTTAAATGGTCCTTTTTCTACTTTAATATATTCAGGAAAAGTACAATGTTTTGCGCACAGAATGTCAGATACAGAGGAATCAAAGGCTCAAATCGTTGTACTCTTCCTTCTAGCAAGTGAACGTGCCAAACGTGCAACTCTTCAGAAATCACAGGTACAGTTTTATTGGACTCGGTTTTTTTTTAATGGTTTAAAGACGTTTGATTGTTCCAGCTCCTCAAAGGTAAAATTTGCTAGTACAGTAGTAGAAGTTGCAGTAGAAGGTGTAGCAGCAGTAGTACTAGTAGTCACATTAGTAGTAGTATTAGTGCAATAGTAGTAGTACAGTATTACTCACATTAATAGTAGTATTAATGCAGTAGTAGTCACATTAATAGTAGTAGTAGTACAGTATTAGTCACATTGGTAGTAGTAGTACAGTTGTATTAGTGCAGTAGTAGTAGTAGTACATTATTAATCACATAAATAGTAGTAGTACAGTATTAGTCACATTCGTAGTAGTAGTAGTACTACAGTATTAGTCACATTAATAGTAGTATTAGCGCAGTAGTAGTCACATTAGTAGTAGTAGTACATTATTAATCACATAAATAGTAGTAGTAGTACAGTATTAGTCACATAAATAGTAGTAGTAGTACAGTATTAGTCACATTAGTAGTAATAGTAGTAGTAGTAATAGTAGTAGTAATAGTAGTAGTAGTAATAGTAGTAGTAGTCACATTAGTAGTAGTACAGTGGTGTTTGTCTGAAACTGCTTCATAAATCTCATTCAAGCTGGGCAGAAAGCAGCGTTTGGACCACAGTCACAGGTCAGGTCAGACACCCACCAGTTGAGCCGAGCTCCACTGCAACACAGAGACTCTATCATCTGCTGCTGATAATGGAATTCCAGTAATACAGTCACATGTCTCACATCTGTCAAAAACAATTAGGCCCCTGCCCGATGTAGGCTGGGACCCACTGGCATACACACAGGAGTCAGCCAAGACTTCCTGCCCAAAAAACACGCCACTGGAAAATCTCCCGGGGGGTCATAAAAAGTCAGCTTGTGGAAAAAAACAGGTTAATATGGATTCAGTTGCAATCATAAAGCTGCAATAATTAGAGGTGTTAATCAATTGTCAGTTATTAAATTAAACACCAACTATTTTGATAATCAATTACTCGCTTTTAAATATATTTCTTTTACCCAAATAAAAATTGTCCAGACTTCTCTGTTTTCTTGGTTTTGGGAAACAGTGATGAACATTTTCACCATTTGTTGACATTTTATGGACCAAACATCTAAACAATTAATCAAGAAAACGATCAACAGATTCATCTATAGTGAAAATACTGATAGCTGCAGCCCTGTTTCATTATACTGAGAGGGTGGGTCTTATTGTCCAATCCCAGTTTTAACCAGTAAGAGTGGACTAAATGTTGAATCAACACAAAACCTAAGCAAACCTTTCCTCCACTATGTTGTATTTTAATGTTTGAGGGTATTTTTCAGTATTTTTTGCATGTTGTTTTGCTGCTTTACACTTAAACAGTGTTCAGTTACTATATTTGTTATACGACTGTTGGGTTTTCTTCCTAAAGGGAGAAAATATAGTTGTATTCTAGTCTATTTCTAACCTTCATGAAAGTAGGATTTATTATATGACTGACTGCATTAGGTTTAGCTTTATAAACTAGCACCTGAGTATAATTAATAAGTCATTAGTTAGTAGGGCTGTGTATTGATCTGACGATATTATACATATCACAATAACCTGGTTACGATTCAATATATTGCAATATTGTAAGCAACAAACGTTTTAAAAAATCTAAATTTAGGGAAAACTGTCATATTATAATGAACACACACAACTATATGGACAATATCTTCATCATAGTCTTCAGTTTACAACACTTGTATTTAGTGGCTGAAACAATCGATACAGTGTTTTTGAGAAACGATACAATAACACAAAACAAAATATCGCGATACTCAGGTGTATTGATCTTTTCTTACACCACCACTAGTTAATACTTAAACTAAACCTGAACATATTGTAGGTTGTGAACCTGCTGTGATTCTTAGTATGGAGGTTATTGTTTGTTATTGATCACGGTTTACCCAATATGCACGTTAAAGCCACAAATACCTTAAATCAACACACATATTATGATTTTATATTAGTTAATAAAGGTTATAGGTATGAAGATGTGTGTGTTTGGGGTGATTTTGTTCCTGTTATTCGGTAAATAGTTTTAGAGAGTTACAACAGCTCAGTTCAGTCTGTATCGGCAGGGACTTTTAACACAAACACATTCATGCAAGTTTATAATAACTCTAAAGACTGCTATTAAAATAACATTAAACCACGGTCATGTTATCTTACCTGAAGATCGATGAAAGGGTACAAAATAATAATGTTTCCTGTCAAATCCTCCTCTTCTTCTCAAAAGTTTGAGACAGCTGAGAAAAAAACCAACAACGCGTCCGTCAGATTAAATTCACCTGTTTCTGAGTTAATGTTGAAGTGAAGCAATCTTTTATTTGATCTTTAAAGAAATTAAAAGCGTCTCGGTTCGACTATAAGCTGATGTCTCCCGGAGCAGAGACAAGAGACTACGGCTCCTTCACAAGACTGCAGCCTCCGAACAAGTGCTTTGTCCCGCCTGTCCGACCGCAACAACACCGCTACACCGCCGAGCTTCAACCGCCAGAGGTCGGCCTTTCTGCGGCTTACAGCGAGGCAGAGACACCGCCACAGAGAGAGATTAATCACAACCAATCAATAATGCAGTTATAGTAGAAGATATTATAAGTTAGAGTTATAAATACAACAGAAATCTTAGTCATAGTCTTCAACCAGACAATGTAGTTCTTGTCATTTGCAGTTACAAGATAAAAAATGTGAGTTAATAAGAGTTTTTAAAAAGGTTTTGTTCTTCATAATCCTGTTAATATGCAGTGGTGAGATTTTTAATATAAAATAGGGGAAAACATGAATTAAAACCTGTTAATTTAAACTGAGAAATTATGTGGAGCTGATGCTTAATGCTCACTGATCGCTGACTAAAGCTTTAAATAAATCTTCCCATTAATGCATTTATTTTTGAAATGATTAAAGTTAAGACTTTAATTTGGGTGTTTTATACAGTTTGACTTTATTTATTTTTTTATCAAAACTTCATCCCAATGGGGTCTGTAGTTATTTATCATAGAATATTTGACTATGATTTTAGTGTCCATGTAATCAATCACCCTGGTGCAGATAGTATAATTTAAAAAATAAAGTTTTGACCTTGTGTTATAGAGATAAAAGATGACCAATATGATTTAATATGTTTGCTTTGGCTTTTTTTGGTCCTACTTTTAGTTTCTCATGCTCCTCTCTCAACAGTTTGTATTTATTTTGTTATCTCGCTCTATAACAAAGTTGCAGAGCTTTCTGTTTGTTTCAGTGTATAAATTCAGTCGTGTTCCTCCGTGAAGGTGTTCATCCTTCAATGAGACAAAATAACTGAGCTGCATTCTGATATCTTCACAAGCTGTCCTAGGAAAGGATTGTTTGTAATAGATTAAATGTTTTCTTAGATAAAGCTAAATAAAAAGAGACAGCACAAAGAAAAAAGTGACCCATGAGCACAAAATGAGACACTGAAACTGACAAACAAAACAGAATAATTGTGTTTTTAACACAGAGAAGGTGACAAATCAAAGCGTAAGAGTGAAATACAAACTTTTTGCTTTAATTGCAGTGAATCAATGTCTCTTAAAGAGAAAACAGGAATAACAAATGATGGTTGAACATGCTGGAATTTATTTTGAAAGTATTTCCATTACAAGATGAATTTAAATCACAGTATGTGTAGTTTACTGATTTATGGGTTTTTAAGTCTTTGAAAGTTACTAACAAAAACGCAACATAAAGAAATTAATACAATCACCAAACAAAATTCTGTTTGTTCCTGTGTAAAATCGATACAGTTTGTGTATATTTTCATTATCAAATGTAAATCTAGAAGTGCTGAGTTAAGGCCAACATCTAAAGCTAGTTGCTCTTCTAGACATCTATATGAAACATTATATTGTGTATTTATGAGTTGTGTAAGTTGTTATTTCGATTCCTACATTACTTCTAGACATTAAATCAATTTAAAGATCTTTTTCTGGTTATGTAGAGTGTTTAATATAATTATCAGGTTTAAAAGCCCCTCCAGGAAAGCAGTGCAGTTACAGATTCACACACTAGGTGGCAGCATGGCTTCATCCTCTGCACCATTTCCCTTGTCCAGCAACAAAGGTTTTACTTTCCTAAAGTCCAAAATGACAAAATATTTAGAAAGTGATACTCGAGGAGCTTGAATACGATTGTGCTCTGTATCCAGCTGAAGTAGTAACAGTGGATTTAAACATAACAAACATAAAACTGTAGGTCATTAAATCTCTGTTGTTGTTGTTGTTGTTGTTGTTGTTTAATGTGTGTGTTTGCAGTGTAGAGCGGATTGTGGAGGTTTTGAACCCTAATTTCTCTGTATCCTGATTGGCCAGATTAGAATTGTGACCAGGCCAAGTGCTGCAGCCACGGCGATGCCCCCGGTTACTGTCACCATGACGTCACGATAAAACCAAATGCAGTCTGGGCAGCAGGCCTCGGTGCTGTGCAAGAGAAAGAGGAAAAAGGGGAACAGCTTTTGGAGTGGGTTATGAGAAGTGAAAGGTCAACTGTGTGCAATAAAGCCACATGAATGATTTCACATCTTTAAGTAAGAAAAATATTCTGTTTATTTCATTCATTTTGTAGGAGAAATATAACTTACACATAAAGAATAAGGCTGGTGTTATTGTATGTATTTCTTTCTGGCAGTCCACAGAAGGTGTAAATCTTTAAAAACAGGTCACATATATTGTCTATTTAAAAAAGAAAAGTCTAAGTAATCTCCTAAAACAATACTGGATAGCAGGAGTAAACAGTGCATTTGTGGAGGACCTATTCTCTCAGCTGTGGATTAATACAAATTTAGTGCTCCAGTGTGTGTTTCAGGTATGTGTGCAAGTGAAACTACAGTGCCCATGTTCATCGTAATGAAGGAACATGTCAGTACTGTGCTCATGGATGCATTTTGGACTTTTAAACAGGGGTTTAGAGCACAGAGGAATAAGCTTTATTAGGATTTGGATACACAGGGAGTACTTGTAAGGATCAGTTCATTGTTGGTTTTGGTCTTTTGAAGGGGTCTTTGTGGGTTGTTCTCAGTCTGTGGTGGTCAGTACCGATCAAAAGTGGCCCGTGTGGTCCGATCCAACAGACAAACTACTGTAGCTGAAACTGCTGAAAAAGTTAATGCTGGTTCTGATAGAAAGTTCTTCACAGTTTGTTGCATATAGGGCTGCGTGCGTTCATATATATATAGGATCAGCTGCTTTTGCCTTTAAAGCAATGGTTCGCAACCTGCGGGCCGGTTGAGAAATTCTGCTACTCAAAAACATGTTTATTTTTCAGACTTTTCTACAATCTTGCCTATTCTTTGTGGAATATTGTAGTTTTACTTCTTCAGACCAAATTATTTAAGTGAAACAGTCTGACGAGAACATCCTGCTTGCTTTCCCACAACAGTTTCCAACACAACTTCCAAAGTTGGTTCCTGTGTATCACAAACCAATCTGCCGCACTAGTCATGCGTTATATAATTTAGGGGTCACAAGCAAGAAAAAAAAGGTTGGGAATCACTGCTTATCAAAAAATGTGCCTTGTATTCAGGCAGAAATAAAAGCTCAGACCAACCACAGAACATCTCTGCCTGTGGGAAATACCTTCATCTTTTCTGACAGCTTCCTAAAACCTTGTCTTTTACCGTCTCAGTGAGAACAACTACTCAAGTGTCAGTCACTCAGAGAGACTCACCTGCATGGTCGGATGCTCTGGATGAGGATGACCCCGACGCCATTAGCCACCTTGTCTGTGAAGCTCATTGATCCATAAACAAAGGCTCCACTTTGCTGCCAAACAAGACAGAGATCAAAGATTATTACAGTCACTGCAGCACAAGTACAAAGGAGTGAAATCCATCAAAAAAAAAAAAAAGCCTACACAGTTTCTCACTGCATTTGCTTCTGTGAAGACACAATAGACCCGCTGTGAGCATTCATCCAGCATTTCATTCATTTCTTGTCAGACGGGGTGAGTGAAGGAAGACAGACATGAGAAGAGTCTTGACAGCAGTAAAATGTGCTGTGATACAAACACGCCACTACAAATCCTCCCCTTTTAATTTCACAGCTGGGAGCTTTCCCTGAGCGTCACACGCCCGTGGCACGAGAACAGATTGACTGGTCTGATAATATTAGTATTCTATGTGACATTTAAAACAAAAAGGTTGCTGTTCCTCGCTGCCTTGTGACGAGGTTTCTCCTGACCCCTCGAAGTGAAGAGAACTGATGATAAAATCAGCATCTGCATATTCTCCTGCACTCGCAGTGTCATTTTGAAGTGGCATGTGATTATTGTATTTGTGCCCTGTTAGGTTGTATTTTTTGCTTTGGCAGACTAGGAAACTACTGTGTTGTAACTGTCAAAAACCGAGCCATGGCACTCCACTGTTGAGCGGACTGGACTGTTATCAATTCCCACAATTTACTAATTTAAAGGATAAGACAGGAAGACCAAAAGTAACAATATCTACGTCTGTGGCCTTCAGTCACAGGTCCATTTGTTCCTACTGATGTAAGTCTTTCAAAATAGGCCATAAATACATATTTTAATCTTTTTTAAACAGTCAGTAATCTCCTTAAACAGCTGGGTACTGTAGTTTTTAGCAAACATCATCAGAATTAAACCATACATTTGTTGGGGACTATTTTCAGCTGTGGATTAATACACATGTGGTGCTCCAGTGTGAGTATTAACAGCAGCAATATACTGTATGTGGGATTGACTCAACATACACTGCAGTGCTCATGTTCTGCAATTCAAATCTGCGGCCCTTTGCTGCATGTCTCCCCCCCATCGCTCCCCACTTTCCTGTCCCTCTTCAGCAGCTATCTATCCAATAAAGGCAATAAAAGCCCCATAAAAACCTTAAAATTAATGAGAGAAGATGTCACCCAGTGCCACCAACAGTGTGGCTGATTTATTTTTATGTTTTTAACAGGATTAGACAACATTGGAGCTCTCTAGCACAGGGGAATGAGATATATCAGGGTGTTGATAGAATTAATTGGGATTTGTTTATGACATGACAAATATACTAAATATGATGAGCGTCATCCTTTTAATCCCTCAATGCAACAACTCTCCGACAGAGCTGTGACCTGTTGTAGGTTAGTTCCCCTCCACCTACCGTCTGCTCCCCGATGAGTGTGGCTGTCATAGACAGAGACATGACCAGGATTGTAGCTGAACCAGCTCCCAGCAGCACAGCGGCTCCATAGATAACCTCAGCTCCCATGTTCTCGTCCATAAACACCCAGACAGCGAAGCCAAACACCAACAACAGGCCGATCAAATAGGTAATCTGACAACAGCAGACACATCTAATTTCAATATAACTTTAAATCACTTGTTTATTAATCATGCAACAGACATGAATTCATAACACAAGAGAGAGTTGTTGCCAGTATGGTGACAGTAAAAATGTACGTATCTTATTATTAGGTAGAGACTCACACTGATTCCTATGAACTTGCTGATTGGTTTCATGGCCAGAGAGCAAACGAAGCCGCTGACATACATCACCAGAGGTATGATGGCAATGAAGTTCTGAGCACAGAGGAGGGAAATTAGTATCCACACTGCAACACAGGAGGCTAGATAATGAGTTACACTGTGTGGCCTTACCTTTGGTAACATCAGTGAGTCGGTGAGGTAAACGGAGATGTAGGTCTGAGATAAGTTGACTATTAGTCTGGTGCACATGTACAGGAAAGCCATCTGGTACAAAATCAGAGAGATTTAGAGCAACAATTCAGTGTTTCTGCAGGTTTTAGCAAACAAATCTGCAAATAATCAGAATCAGAATCAGAATCAGAAATACTTTAATAATATAGTGTGTAATTAACGTTATTGTTCATCCTTTTCAATGTATCCTTTTGGATGCTTATCTTTCCTCGCACTGAAGGCAACCATCAGCGTTTACTACTTTAAATGAGCATACTCATGAAACTCACTTTAGGTATGCAAGGCATCACAGCTAGGGTCGAGTACTGTTTCAAATTTTTGGATGTTTTGAATTTTTGAAGTTTCAGTACTGATAACAAAATGATATTGAGGAATATAAACTTGCTAAAACTAAAACAACATTTTTCCTCTAAAAAGTCATAAAAGAGCTCTAAAATGACCAAAACTATAATTTAATTAGAAATATCTGATCAAAAATAAGTTAACAAGTTGATGCTATGAACATATTTTAATTAGTACTCAAAAATGTATTGAGGTTCAACACACAGTCTGAGCTTTAGTCACATACAGATGCAGAACTACCTGCAATACCTTTTAATTCTCATGTAAACTGACATAAATGAATCCACCCTGTGAGGAAAAAAAGGGCGGAAACTTTCTACATCAGCAGAAAGATTTAGGAGTCACCTGGTAGAAGGAGGGCTCCTTCAGCCAATGCTTCCACTGAAACACAGTATGAGACAAAGTTTCCTGTGAGGAGGAAGGTGTGATCAGCTGATCGTCTCTCCCAGAGGCCGACGCGCCCTCTTTTGTGCCCACATGGAATAACAGGGAGAATACGGCTCCGGTGCCCAGCATAATGAGGGCCAGCGTCTGTGGACAGAGAGAGAGAGCTCAGCTTAAATTATAGTGAGTCTGCAGGAGTGTATAAATCTCTCACGTATCTCTGTTCTCACCCTGAACAGAGGGACGTCCACCAGGCCCAGGTTGTCTGTGATGGAGGGGTCCACATTGTGCTGAGCCTGGAAGTGGAAGAGCAGCCAGGCCACGGTGTACACGGTGATATTGGCCACCACAGTGAAGGCATACCTACAAAAAAACAGAAGACACAGAGGCGTCTTGTTCTTGCTTCAATATTTAAAAATAGATCACTTCCAGAGTAACTTCTCTTTTCTTCTCACAAGGAATTTGGTTTATATTTCTGTCTTATTGTTTTACTTCCACTGGCATAATAATCCCCCATGACATGAATCTGATGTTGCAACTAGTTTTCGTCAGTTCTGCTCTTTCCGGTTTGGACAGTAGAAGAGGAAGAAGGTTTTTAGAGGAAGTCATGACAACCTTTCCCAAAGATGGGAATGAGGACATGGTAGCGTAGAGGAAAAAGGAGAGACTGAAGAGGAGATAAACAATGGAAGAACTGACCCCATCGTTCATGTTTTTAGATTCAGAGAAGGAAAATATTAGAGTCTGAAAGCTTTCCTGACAATTAACCATACTCATTTATTACTATTTACTCCCAATGTTGTTGCTCCTAAAGCCTGTAAACTACAACTTTTAAAAAGGAATTGTCTTCTTAAGAATATAATGAAAGCAGATTTAACTATGTTACACTGTATCTCTAATTCAACAGAGGTCAACTATGTTTTTGGAAAACAGTCCAGTCACACCAGCTTTGCCTCCTGAATAGAAATATGTGACTGTATTGCTCCACAACGGTGAAATTCCACATCAGATATTCATTAACTCAAACTGGAAAATCGGCACTGAGAGAGGCTTTGTCAACACAAGTTCAGAAGTCATTCTTAATACTGTAAGCTGTTTAAACAAGCACGGTGGCAGAGTTAGAGGTTTTACAGTAAAGGAATAATTCACTCTAAAATATGCTATAAATGTAATTGTTTTAATCAAATTGTGAATCTCAGTTAAGAAATAAACAAAAAATGTTCCTGTAAAATGTAAAAGGATTATTACAAGGCAAAAAAAAAAACATTAAAAGAATAGTTAACGTTAGATATTGTGGGGGAAAAGCGTATTTCACTATCTGCCGGAGAGACAAGATGCCACTAGTCGGCCAGCAGCCGGTTAGTTTAACTGTTAGTTTAACT